CAGCATGATCTAGGGAGGTAACAACTCTACCCTACTGCAGTTAATTTAAACAAGTCTATTCATCCAGTATCTTTACAATCTTGATGAGTTTTCAGAAAGTAGGTCCTGAAATATTCCTCCGTCTAGTCACATGCAAATTCATGGAACAGTGCCAACCTTAGAAGAAGGACATTGAATTACAAATAAAATCAATGTATCCTTTCACTAAAATTCAAAGGAGAATCTTACAGTGTACTGCTTATGTATTACAAGCATATAGGGGACTAATTTTAGATTAATGATCTCACTTTTTAGTATAGCTGATGCTTTACTATACCTCTCAGTATTTTAACTCAATATTAGTTTGAAAAACATATTCCTATTGATTCTCAAATACAATTAAAGATTGTATTGAAGCACTTTTAGAACTGAGTCACTGTCAATTGTGAAATCAGACTAAATCATCTAAATCTTTTCTTTTAAATTATTCTTCTCTCATACATTACCAACCAACTGCAATTTTTCTCTCCTTTCACTCTTCTCAGTCTCCTCCCCAACCTCCTCTCTCCCCCAGAGAAGAGCAGACCTCCCAGGGATATAAATCAAACATGGAATAACAAGTTATAATAAGACCAGGCACAGACTCTCATAGCAAGGCAATCTGGTTGGAGGAAAAGGGTCCAAAGAGTAGGCAAAAGATTCAGAGGCATCACCCACTCCCACTGTTAGGAGGACCACAAGAATACCAAGCTACACAACCATAACATATATGCAGAGGATCTAGATCAGATCCATGCAGGCTCTGTGATTTTTATTTCAGTCTTTGTGAGCCTCTGTGAGTCCCTACGAGCCCTGCTCAGTTGATTCTGTAGGTTATGTTCTCCTGGTGTCCTTGACCCCTCTGGTTCCTACAGTTCTTCCTCCCCTTCTTCAGCAGGGTTCACTGAGCTCTGACTAGTGTTTGTCTATGGGTCTCTGCATCTACTCCCACTCCTTCCTGGATGAAACCTCTCCAATGATGATTGGGCAAGGAACTTGTGTGTGAGTATAGCAGAATATCATTAGAAATCATTTAATTAACTTTTGTTTTTTAATTTGCCAGTTTGTTAAATCCTAGGTCTGTGAGCTATCCAGCTTTCAGTTCCTGATCATCCAGGCAGTGTCAGGCATGGGTTCTCTCTGTCAGTCATTGGTTGGCCACTTGCACAAGTCCAGTGCTACCATTATCCTAGCACATCTTGCAGGCAGGACAAATTGTAGGTCAAAGATTTTTTTTATGGGTTTGATTATCCCAAGTTGTATCAGCTACTGATGGTAACAATCTGAAGGGTGGCATATTTTTCCATAATTAATTTTTTTGGTGAATTATTATGATACTTTTGCCTCCATTTTGAAGGAGATTAATTTTTCTCTATAGTTTAGTTATTAATAACACAGAGTCCAGTTCTCTGTCTCTTCCCAGTTATTCAATCTGTTCCATGTAGACATCTGCTTTATATAATCAGTCTCTATAACATCCTGTATATGGAATTTTGGATACAACTATTCACCTGATCCCCCACTGACTCTGCAGTTCTTGTGGACTGATTCAGACCTGCAACAGGAACCACATCTCAGTCACCATGTGACTGCACAGAACTCATATGTGATTGGTCTAAAATTTAGATCATTTAGACTCTAAATTGAGCCATTGGAGTTGGAGAGAGGGATGAATATGATCAAAATAGGATGGAATTATCAAAAAATTAATAAAAATATTTTAAAAGCCAGATAATGTCATGAACATCAATTAAGATTTCTTTCAGCTACAGACTCACACAGTCTGTCCTTTGCACCCTCCCTGCTCATGGGTGTACATGTCTCCAACTGCTTGCCTTTCTTGTGTGCCCTGAGTGGTGTGCTATCTGCTCTCAGTGGCATTTGTAAGTACTAAACTGCTGAATAGATGAGTTCTGTTTCATCTCCTCTGTGAAAACGCATGTTTTAAAACATTCATACACTAATGATCAATTTAATATAATTCTAGTTGGTTCCTAAAAGGGTATTTTAATGTAACAACCACACTAAACTGAACAGAGGACTGTAGACAGTTTTTGTCATGGGAAAGAAGACCACACTGGAAAATAATAGAGAGCTATGTGAGAAAATACAACTACATGACCCCAGTTTTAGTTCTCCTTACATTTCTACACGTGTTAAAATTCTTAATAATTCATGTGCAGAGCAATTTAAATGCCTGTTTCTTTTTCTGAAGATACATTTTTCAACTGAAATAAAATTATACCTCTTCTCTCTCCTTTCTCCCTCTAGTCCCTCCCAGTTACCTCCCTCTAAGACCTTTCGTATCCTACCCACATTCTCAAGTTGGTAACCTTTTCTTTTCTTTGATTACCATTGCACAAATATACATGTGTGTGCACATACACACACATACACAAGCATACACATATATTTAATTGTTAACAAAAATTCCTTTAAATTCACAAGAGTTTCAAATGCATCCTTATACTCTCAGTATACTCTGTGGAAAGATACAAATATTTGCACTTACTGTAAGTGGCCTGATAAAAATACTTGCTAGATACCAGAAGTCTAATCCAGAGTGAAATATAAATAATTCATCACAGTTAATTATTCTATTTCTATGGTTTAATGTTCAGATAATGAAATGAAAAAGAGCATTTTCATAACTTTTATTATGCATGTATCTTTCTTAATTTTAAGAATTTATTTGATAGCATTTCATTAGAATTATTACAAATATTTATCAACATTAAATTAAATTTCTAGATCAACAGTATTTTAAAACATAATGTACTTTTAATTACTAATATCCACTTGTACTCTCAAATGCATCATGGTCTGGATAGCAAATGATGCCTCCTCCTGCACTCATCTCATGTTTTTCATTCCTTTGCTTCTCGGCATCAACAGTGTTCTAACTGTGAATTTCCTTTGTTCTTTGTTTATCTGACAATCCCTATTCATGCATTTAGGTGTAAGTTAAACCCTAGCAATGCACAGTTAATTAATTTCTAAATTAACTCTGTTTCTGCAATTCCTCTGTATTTCTGTATGACTATTATTCTCTGAAACAATCATATGTTTAACTTCACAATGAGCTAGCTGCCCTGTTGCAGATCTGTGAAAGCAATAAATTGTGATATGCTTTCCCAACATCTTTCTCCTTTCGTTACATAGTCACTGTATAGCAAATGTTATTCCTATATAGTCAACAGGATAAGAGTATTTAATTCGTTATAAGCTACAAAATATACAGTGTAATGTCAAATTTATTTTAATTAACAAAGGAAATAATATTGGATTATCCAATTCACACTGTATTTAAATTCTAAAAATTTATGCTATAACATATCCACTAAAGTGGTTTCAAAAAGCATCACTCTATTTTGAGGGTGATAGCACATCTTTCTTCAATTGGCACACATACAAAGACACAGATGATATGAACTCTGTGATACAAAAAAATGTGAAATCCTCATATAAAAGTAAGTGAATAATGCCTTGATATCTCACGAATGACCTTTGAAAAGCAATGAGCAAATACAAAGCATGGGCATTTATATTTATGTAATGCCCATTTTGGTAGACTGTGAATTACTAAGCATCCGGCTTTGCATAAATCTAAAAGTTCAGTGAAAAATAATTTTAGCAAGGCATTCTAATTCTATTCCTCTCTCAGCAAGTGTAAGATAGTGTCAAGGATGAACTAAGGACATTCCTCACTTCAATAAGAATCGAGGAATTAGGTAATTCAATGCTATTTCCTTCATTAACTGAGGAAATTATATTTATTTAATTATTTATTCATTCATTTGTTTATTTATTGCAGTGATGAGGAAGGAATCCAAGTCCTTACACATGCTAGGCAAGCACTTTGCTTTTAAGCTTTATCTCAATATTTTATTTTGAATTTTTACTCTTGTCTCTATGATTAATTTTAGATGGTTTGTGGCCAATCCCTTTCCATTGATAAAACTCTGACTACAATTTCCTTTTGATATAGATGTCTGACCTTATTAAAACTGTCCTAGGACTTTTATTTCGTAATTACAATAGCATTTATTTGTTAAGAATAGCTCTTTATGCCGGGAAGTGGTGGTACACGCCTTCAATCCCAGCACTGGGGAGACAGAGTCAGGATGATTTCTGAGTTTGAGGTCAGCCTGGTCTACAGAGCTAGAGCCAGGACAGGCACTAAAACTACACAGAGATACTGTGTCTCAGAAAAAAAAATAGCTCTTTATGTTGAGGGATGATACGATGAATGGATATGAGGCCCAGGACTAAATTTTATACGTGGATGTCATTATTAAATTGACATAGCTGATAAAGAGAAAAGAGAAACAAACAAACAGCAGAATTCAGTGTCCTCTTCATTCCAGCCTGAAGACTGAAATCTCTGTGGATGTTAGGCATCACATATTTTTAACTTGAATTTTTAATCAACAAGAGAAATTATCTCAATTGATTAGAAATTATAATTTATTCCCAGGTTATTTATCAGCCCCCAACCCTCTCTGGTAATGACTCCAAAACCCAGACTTTGGATTATGTAAGACTGACATTGGAGAAGCCATAGCACCCCAAGCTCAGAGAATTGTGAGGGCAATTTAAAGTGTATTAAGAAGAGTGAGCCACCTATAAATTATTTGTCAAGGATTACAATAATTTACATGGAAGAGAGTCATGTGTCTAATGAGCAAAGTGTTCCTCTTGGGCAACATCAGCACCTGCAATGAGAACCATGATAGCACACAAACAGAAGTAAAATAAGATCTGTGCACTCTCATATCCTCTCCCCATTCCTTCCCATCCTCAATGGAGCCCATAGAGTACAAGTGAAAAGGTTAAAGTTAGGACGTGGAAGTGGTATAAAGAATGTATTCAAATTAATCATTTTTAATATAAGATCAAAATCTATGTATTCAGGGAAAAATCAGATTTGTATGAGGTTTGTTCATTTTAAACTAAGTGGTTTTTTATTCTGCCATACTCTGTGTGAATATAAGTAACTCCATTTCCCATTTAGATAATAAATTCACATTCACCTGCTTCCCCTTGAACTCAATGTCTGCCATCAACAACATCTTCTGGGGCTTCATAAGTGGCTCTCACTTCCGAAGATGAAAACTCTCTTCCGGGCTCCTGTTGTTTTCATTTGCTTTTGAGGTGAGCCCTATTTCAGAAAGGCGGTCCAGACTTTGCTTGAGTATACTCTTCCAAGAGTTTTTCAATTCTTGAGTCTAGATGGGAAGATAAACATTATCACAGTTTTGATCCTTAAGGAGAATTCACCAAAAATTGGTCAAAAATAACCATTACAAGAACATTTAAAATAGGGCTTTAAAATTTCTGGGACATGGGTGCTCTTAAGGACTGTGCTTTCAGCCAAGGCAGAGGTTTTTCTTTTTCTTTTCTTCTTTCTTTCTTTCTTTCTTTCTTTCTTTCTTTCTTTCTTTCTTTCTTTCTTTCTTTCTTTCTTTCTTTCTTTCTTTCTTTCT